ACCGTGCAACAGGGTTTTTTTTTGTTTTTTTTTAAGGAGTTGTTACTAAAGGTGTGCGATACTGCATATTTTTGTTTCAATCTCATACCAAGTAAACTGATGGTGATACTCATACCGATACACATATTTTTTATTCAAGTTTGCTACATAATCAAACGCCTGACCTTCAGGTGTTTCCGTATTTTTTTTCCTTTGACTTATTTTTGTTTCAAATCTAGAACAGAATTTGGACTAACTTTCTACAAAAAATATGTAATTTGAGAGCAAATCAAAACAAAATGTTTTATTTGTTTTAGATATAGTTGAGAAACCAGATTACAAAAATAGAAAGGCAATCTGAAACTACAGTCTCAGTCTTCCCACGGTAGTATCGATACTTCCTTGGTGTCGATATTCCGGATCGATCCGCTCGCCTCTACTTTTTACCATTCCGTCTAACCTTTCATTTTATTAGAATCACAGTTTCCATTTTCTTCCACATCTTTCTGGTTTTGGTTTCTGTACAATTTGAGCTAACTTTACCGGAGCAGAATATAATTTATGTTCTTCTTTTTTCTATGTTTCTCCAATCAGCTTTTTAAATGAAATCTTCTCTTCTCCTAAATTATATCCATATCAACCCATTTCTTTTTTCAGATCACCAGAGATTAATACATGGTAACCAAATTGAGTTTCACACTCCTATGATTCGGAACAATTTATTTATAAAGAAGAGTTTATCGTTTCTCTACTGCATATACCTTTTTACACATTCTTAGAGATGTTCTTTATCAACACTGACAGTGTACAGCATCATTTTACAGTTTTATTGTTCCACATATTATTTCATTGGATGAAAAAGAGGTTCAGTGACATCCGATTGGGTCGTTGTCATATCGAAAATGGCGGCCTGTGAAGGATGAGTTTCAAGTTTTGACCCAATGTTTGGTCAATACTCCCCAAATCATGTGGCAAAAGCCAAAATCCAGCATCTGGGTTAGAAAATGATGGACTCATAAGATGGCGATGTTTTCTAATGCCCAACACCAGTACAAGTGCAACCTGTGATTTCTTTAACATGCCGATCCGTTGGTTCCAGGCTCAGTCTTCTTGAGTGACTGACATCAGATCCCATTTCTCAGGTTAGAGCCAGGAAACAACACAGCCCGGCCTGAGGGAGGCCTGCGGGTAACGCACGGCCGACACCATCACGTGTCCACAGTCGGGGCAGGCGGCTCCCAAGCATCGAGCGTGAGAAAGCACTTCACACTTACCTCATGCTCTCGCATAAAACATTCATCTTCTGAGTGAAAAACTGACAACATCTTGCTGCAAAAAGAAAAAGCCATGATTCTGAGCTGGAAGGAACGTCACCGCATGGCGACAGCAAGCTTTATAGACTAATAGCTTTCTAAACCAGAAACACAACAATTATTTGGTCTTTAACTCGTCATGGTGATCTCAAAAATTAAGATTTGGTTTTATTTTTAAAGTGTTTTTGTAGTAGTCAACCAGGGAGCCTGTATTTTTAAATAATCAACATTTAAAGGTTTATGCAAGTGTCTGTGTGTCCATCTTGGATCTATCAGCTTCATTCCTTGATCTCCCCCATACTGTCAGGGTAAGAAAACGGACGAAAAATGATTCTAGAAGTATTGCTACTATGCTTTGGTTTTGTAAATACAGATGGCTTTTATTGCAAACTTATTTGTAAAAGTTTCAAATTTTTAGGAGGTTGGAGTTTATTTATTTTTTTACTGATTTGGCATTTCATTGGAAAACCAAAAAATAAAAAATAAAAAATAAAAATCTCATTTTCAATTGGGACTTGAACTAGAAATGAAATCCAGTGTTATTGCCAGCAGGTGGCGATAACATAAAAACAACATCAACATTTTATCAGGTTTTTCTCCTTGTCGTGAAATTATTAAATACTAAATACAAATTAGAACTTAATGAAAATAGAGTCCGGACAGAGTTGTCAGGCTCGTGTTTTTGGTCTAAGTTATCATTTTAAGATTTAAATTTCTAGAGTTAACTTGGCATTTACACATCAGTTTATACATCAGTTTTCTTAAGTACTTTTGTTTGAAATGATTTACTTGCATCTTTTTTTCCTGATTTGTATCTTTTCAACTTTTCAAAAATTTGTATTTGAGCCCCAAAAAGTGTCCAACAGCCATGACAGGTTTCTTCTTTCCCAAAAAAACAAAAAAAATAAAAATAAAATAAAAAATAAAACATAAACAACAAAACCCCACCTCCTGAAAACTCCAGGCTAAGTTTTCTGGGGATGTTTTGTATTCAGACACATATACATTTTATTTTTCATTTTATAAATGTATGTATTTATGTTTGGGGAATTTTATACAAGATGACAGTACATGCAGGTTTTTTTTCCATGTCCTTTCCGTAGCAGCGTCCCACAGCATGGTGCTGCCACCGTGTTTCTTTGAGATGTGCACAGTGATGGACAGTGTTAGATTTCTGCCTCATAAACGTTTTCTTTTCCGAAAAGCCCTGTCATTTGCGACGTAAAGTAAACGATGAGCCTTTCATCAGATATTTTTAAGGTCGGTTGTTTTCCTGGAGTGGAGCGGGGCCATGAGGATAAACGAGAAGGTGAGGAACATGTTTGAAAGCCTCCTAAATCTCACTTGATCTCCGTGTTTTCCATTTGTGCACAGGGACTCTGTGGCTCACACTAAAGTAATAATCTTTGCTGGTGCTAGTCTGTTTGAAGTCAAAGATAAATGCCTTTTCTGCACAAAGGATTTATGTTGAAGTGCAGATAGCTTCTTTTTTTCTTTGCTAAGCTTTGCCTCCTCCTACGGTTTATTAAAACTATTTTCCAGGAGTATTTACATCTTTCACGGCTGCTGTTGTGTTGACGGATACCCTGCTATCCATGTTGAAATGTTGATGTTGAGGGACAAGCCTTCTAATAACTAACGTAACATGTTTCCAGTATAAAATATAAACCTCTGTAATTATAGATTATGGATTTCTTTCTTGTTTGAAGCGGCTGCATAATGTTCTTGCTTCGGCTCTGAAGTTGCAGCTTTTTTGACCATGTCAGTCCAGCTCAGCGTCTCATTTCCAGCAGAGTGAAAAACCTTTGCAGGATCGGCATGGTTCTCCTGAGGCAGCAAATCTTTATCAGTGTCAATCCACTTCTCAGAATTTCTGGGCATTTCGAAACGTAAAGGGGAAGGACATGCAGCTTGACAACAGCAAGAAATACACAGAGCCTGTATCTTGTTTCGTCCTCTGTTCGGTGAGCTCCAGTCAGAGCGACGACGAAAAATATGAAATCAAACCCTTCGTAACCTGTTGCATTTGCAGAAACCTGCCTGTCGTCATCACCTGCTGAGCCGTTTCTTTATCGACTCAGTCTTCCCTCTACAGGTTGTAGTTAGTGATAAATCGTTAGCTGGAAAGGTCATGCATAAGAGGCTCCAAATAAATCTCTTGCTTCAGAACTAATTTTCATAAAAGCGATTTTTGTCAGCGGATATTTGAAACTACGCAGCTTAACAACAACGCGTATCGCATTTGAACTCCATGAATATGGAAACGCATCGGTGACCTTTTAGCAGTATATGTAGTGAAATGTGAGCTACTGAAAAGAGTAAGAGGTTAAACCAACCCTGATGGGACCGACAGGCACTTTGAAAAAAATTGTAAGATAGCTGTCCTGAGATTAGATATAGGAAGGAGCATTACACACAGTAGCATATATTATTTATTTAGCATGCATTTTATTATGCTCCCTTGAACAGCTTAGGACAGTTCTATGGGCGATGCAAAACATGTCCATTTAACATATTATGCTCAAAATCACTCCTAGATATTGAGATGTTGGTCTGCTGAGCTCCTTTCAGAATGAGCCGTCTCACTTTAAATCCAGATTAGCTGCTGCTGGCCACGCCCCCCCGGCGCCCCCAAAGTCAACGTTTACACTCGCACTTGAAAACGGATGCAAACAGCTGCGCAACTATACAACAGTGCATCTTTGAAAAGCAGATGTGGAACCTGCTGCTCAACCAGCAAGACTGCAGCAGGCGGTTTCTGGATGGTAAGTCAACGACAAAACACTTGTCTTTTCCAGCGGCCATTGTACAGCGCTTAACACCAGCTGACCAAAAGTGCTGGAGTTCCGCTCAGGATGCTGGGTGATGGGCTGAGCTCAGGTGGGGTTGTTAATTAATGGCGCAGTGCCTATTGACTATGACTCAACAATCGGAAGGTTTTTGAAATGGCTTATTTTCCAGACATTTTCCACTTTTATTCCTGAAAAACATCGACATGATTTTTTTTAAGTGCTTTGGTTTTCAGTGGCGTACGGAGATATGATGCCCTAGATAAAACATGCTCAGGCATCACATCTGGAAGCATTCTGTACTGTTGCATACAAAATTTTATCACTAACTAATCCTGGTTACCATGGTTGTTTTTTGAATATGAAGAAAACATATGCATAATAGGCTCACAAGTGCCGCACTTATGCACCACTACTTTAGAACAATGCGAGTTTTGTGCCTTTTTCTGACATGCTGTGAGCCTCAAACAACCTAAGAGTGAACAAAACCTGAAATCCCATATTCAAAAAGTATTTTCCTTAACATATCAGTGATTTTAAAAACAATTGCTGTCCTCTGTGTGGAACAGATAAGACGTGCTGACGTAACCCAGCTCAGAATAAGTGACCCGTGCTCGTCAACAAGTGTTTGCACAGCTCCTTTTTAGGAGGCCCATCCAAAGCTTTAAGAAGATGAATTTGTTTGGAGTCAGGCCACCACATGCTGAGTGACTCCAAAGTGAAGCCATCAGCCGTAGTGATTGATGCTCCCCGCCGGCTGGTCCTCGCCTGGAGCAGCTCTGCGTCTGATTCATGGCGGAGTCTTGGATGATTCAGCGGCTGAACCGACTGCCGGTAATGACTTAGAAGTGGGTGTAGGTGTGGAGAGCCGAAACGCTGAGAGAAACTCTGAGGATGTAACACTCGCACACCATCCACGGCCAGATGTAATTACTGTTTATTATTGACAAATAAACAATACAAAATATTCAAACAATCCATGAAGCAGCAGAGGAAAACTACAAACGTGCAAAAAGTCACTGGATTTGCCCACATGGTGTGTATGTGTGTGCCTGTGTTGCAAGTTGTGTGTTTTTTGCAGCAACCTGCATGCAGAACACAAAATATCTCCAATCACAGCTGTTTGCTATTTGTCAAAAGTAGGAAAAAAATTAATAATAACGAACAGAAAGCAAAATGTGCATGAACCTCTGAGGTACTTTACAAACCACAGACTTGAAACAGCTTTTTTGTTTCCAAATATTCTCATCTATTCTACCTCAGCATTTAGCTTTCACCCACTGCACTGAGACACTTTTAAAGAAATGATCGAAACAGGGTTGTTGTTTTTTTTTCCTTTTCTTTTCAGGCACATTTAAAAGTACAATACTCCATGAAGTTCACATTGCATGGCACAAAAGTTTTCAAATAACTTTACAATATAGACACACAAACAAAAGAGAAAAAAAACACAGCTGTTCATTTTAAAGTGTGTCCCTTTCAGTAGCTGGTCTCTCTTGGAGACAGGTCACATGCAGACACTGCAGAGTTCCTCACCATTATTTCATAGGTTTATGTTGTGGTGAGAGAAAATGGGCTGTTTTAAACAAAAATGGGGTCAAAACATTTTACTGTGTCAATGATACAACGACCTCGTCTGACTTCACCAAAGTTAATCCACATGATGAAAAAGCTGAAATTTCTTTCATTTGAACCCATTCAGTTAAGCTAAGCCCATTCTGCAAACCTGCAGAGTTACATCAACCCTGGGTTAGGCGATCCATTTTTGACCCAGGGTTGTTTTTACCAGGCAGCTTTTCAAGTTCAGACAGATTCCAAAATCCCTCCTTAGAGAAGCAATCTGTAACTGTTATGAAAAAAAAAAGTTTTTTATATCCCAGAGCCAACTGCAGAAATACCCTGCTCTGTCAGACACAACCAATCACAGCCAGGAAGAGGGTCTCACCATAATGCATTTTACCACGAATGCTAATGCTAGTTACCATGGCCACCAATGACTGTAGTTAAACAATTTTCCTGTAATGGTAAGTTGTTTCTCCATCATTGTCATCATCAACATCAAGTGGACGTACACGAGCATGAGTGGCAGCGCTAAGACCCTCCTCCTGGCTCTGATTGGTTGCTTTTGACCGGGAGCGGTGCGTTTCTTCAGACAGTAAGAGTAGCTCAGGGAGGACGTGGAGGAGATTGATCTTTTCACACATTGTCTCAGATTATACTGACACAACGTAATGACAATTTTAACAAATCATGTTGCACTCATCAGGGTGTTCAACTCGCTAACACACAAAACAGAAGTTCAGAGATACTGTGAAATTCCTCCTCAACAAGCAGGGATGACTATGCGGTCATATTTAACAAATTAGAATATTCTTGAAAATGTGTTTGATTTTAATGACTAAAGTTACTAAGTGAAACACATTGTGTAGATGAATTATGAACAGATTGTGTCCTAGATTGTGTAAATTGTGTCCTAGATTTGTTTTTATTTTTTTTAAATCCAAAAGAAAAAAACACAAAATTGCCTAAAGTTCTGATGTTTGATGAATTCATAGTTAAACAATAAGTATCTTTACTGGTATTAATCAATATTGGCGATACTTTATTTGGTATCGGATAAATACCAAAATATGAAGTATAGATCAGCACTAATGAGAAGTATGTTTAACACCTGCATATAGGTTATTTTCAAAATGTATTTTTAAGCTACCTCATCAATGGGTTTCATCAAGCCATCTTGCTGCTTTCTACATGTGCCGTCACTGGTTTGTGGAGATTCCTGGAACAAATAACTCAAAGAAAAGGTGCTGCATTCTGCCAATTGAAACTGAATAAAACGACTTAATGCAGCAGCAGTAGAAACACATTTCTGCCTCGCTGCAGCAACAAGCTCTCCACACGCCGGTGCACTTGATGGCAACCAAAGCAACGCCGAGGCTGTCTGTCACGTCGGAGGACTAATCGAGCAACTCCCTGCAGGAATCATTAGCATTCAGGTGATTCTAAATTGACACAGCAAGTTTAAGTGAGTGTCTAAATGCGTCCGCCTCTTTCTCTGCCGAGTCCATCGTTAAAGGTCACGTAATTCGACATCTGCGTTCTGCCTCCGGAAGCGAAATTAAAATGTCACGCCGGTGTACGTTTGGATTAATTTAGGTTACATGGCTTCAGGTGGAGGAGCGGGAAATGCAAAGAGGGACGAATTCTAAAACTCCAGTCGAATCCCAGTTGAAGATTGGTTGCAAAATGAAATATGACGTCTGTATGATAGTGACTTCGAGATATGAGTATTGAATCAGAAACTTGGATTTCACCAGTGAAACGTTTGCAAACAATATCAGTTTTTGTCCTTTATGCTTCGAGCATTTTTTTTTATTCTCAAATGAACAAAAAATTGATTTAATTAAATGTATTGGTAAAAATGTATGAATCTGACTTGAAGTCGTCACAGTACGAACTTTTTAAGCTTGATGTCGAAACTAAGAGAAACATTTGGTACCTATTACTGTATTTGACATTTCGGGAAGTTTTTAAAACCTTGAGGAAAACACATCCCTTGCATTCTGTTGAGCCAGAAATCATAAAAAACAAACAAAATATTTTCTTACTGTTAAAGATCTGACCCAAGCAAACATATTCAGCAGCTACTGTTCACTTTGTCTCGTTACGTTGCATCGTATATATCCTCCAGCGGTTGCATGTTTATGTCTTTTCTTCATTTAGTTTTACTATCCGCCATATTAGCCACCAGTTTGTTTTTTACCTCTAACTGGGTTTTGCCAGGTTATTTTGTCCCTGACAGACCTGAACCTGGACGCCTCCCTCCATCAGTTCATACTCGCACTGACAGCTTAGAAATGGTGTAAAAACGCATCGTTCAACCAATGAACCACTGTAATTGGTCTGTCAGCAGGTTGCTTCTACTGAAAAAGATAACAGCTGCTTTCTGCTTTAAAACTTTGATGTTGCAGATACAGGAGCTTCATCGACACATTTAAATTCCTCAAACATCAGAGCGTCTACCTTGAAAATGCGTCGGCGGCATTGCGGAGTTATACTTGGCTCTGTAAATTCGCTCCCAAACCAAATAACTCTAAAACCTTTGCACCTAAAGACGGTCACATAAGACTTTTCTCCTGATGAATATTGTTTTGAATTGGATTGTTAAAATCGCACTGAATGGATTTTGAGCCAGGACTGTTCAGATGAGTTGCTGAAATGGAGTGGAGCTGCTGGGATCCAATGTGTTTGCATTTCTATTGTGCAAAGTTGTGTGTCAACGGTTATGTTTTTAGTGATTTCAAAGCAAATGGATATTTCTAAGAAATTTATTTCTCTGTTTATATGTTTAGGTACAATTTTGTCCTGTTGTGGATTTGAAAAAGCCACAAAAATGTCCATTGGTGCTGCCAATTGTATTTTTTTTATTATGTGATCATTCTTGAATAAGAACAAGTCAAACACATCCTCCAAAGCCTTAAATTTGATTAAAATTTTATACCAATGATGAATGCTTGTGAACTTTTTCCGTGGTATAGTATTTTTTTCCCCATTTGACACGGTGCTAACTGGTTGAAATAAAGCAATCTCAGCTAAATGGACAAAACATTTAACTGGAACTTCAATGGACTAAAATCCTCTGTGTTTAACACAGGGAGAAAACAAAAGTTAATTACTTTCAACCAGCTGAAGTATTCATTACATCTCAAAATTCTACCAAAGCTAATTTGTTTCAAGACATCAACATTTTAAGCTTGATGAAAATGTCTCGAAAGGTTCTGCATTACATTTTCATGAGGAAGTTAAAAACGCAACATCTGCGTCTCTGATTCTGTGTTAAATAAAACATTATCCATCACACCTCCTTTAAGCTCCAGCGTTTCTTTCTCATTAGCTCAGTGAATAATGCATCTATTGGAAATTGATTTTTTTTTTTTTTTAGTTAAAAAAAAAAATCTGCAAGGCAGAGTTGGTGGCAGTGGTGCTTCTCCTGGCTTGGTGCATCAAACGTGCGGAGTGTGTAAATGATGTTCGCCTAAGGTCAAACATTAGACTGTGTGCCCAGAAAAGGGAAGTGAATGCATAAGTGCCTTGAGCAACACTCTTTCAGGGGTGTATTAAAAAGTTCAGAGGCTTAGACGAGATTCCCTACAATGTAGTGGTTTAAATCTTTGCTTCTTGTTAAATAAGCCACACATCACCTGACTTATCTGTGCAAACTATTCCATTGGTATGAACAAACTACTCCCATACCGTGGTGATTAATGCTGAATGTCACTCCACAGGGGGATCAAACAAACTAAAGACAAACTTTTCTGGGTTCCAAAAAGCAATAACTGTAGCCTAATGATAATTTGGAGGCCATTTGGAAGAAATTATTTAAAGCAAATGATCTTTTGGAACCAGTAAATTTCTGATTCTATAGTTGGTAATTCCTCCCCTGTGTGCTCAGTATTAGCATCTGCAAATGGTCCTACTGTTTTATCTGAAGCTGAGGAATTGTCACACATTGGGCAGGGGAAATAAGATTTCTGTTGTGGCAGTAGGACTGAAAAGTATGATTGTTAATAAGGCTGAAACATCACATAAAAAGGCCCCCAGTCCCATACAATCACCTCTATGTCGACCATAGTCATCAATCCATTCATCGTGTGAGATGAATGGCAGGATAGGGTAAAGAGGTGACCAGCTTGAACCAAACTGGTCATGTCATTGCTAAATTTTGCCAGTGGATTCTCTAAATATCTATTTCAAAAGAATATTTTGACTGTTTTTTACAGAAGAGCGTTGCACAGTGGCCCAGTGGCTCGCAGCAAGGAGTTCCTCAGTTCAAAGTGCTGCTGGGGTCTTTTCGGTGTGGAATTAGCTTGTTCTCCCTGTGCATGTGTCTCCAAATTCCTCACACGTCCCAAAAACATGCATGATGGGGTAATTGGGCTGTCTGAATTGCCCGAAGGTACGAGTGTATGTCTGTTTCTCTTTATATCCCTTTGTTGCCTATATATCACATATATTAGGCACCGTACTCCACAAACACTCTCCAAATATGAAGCGGCTACAGAAAATAGATTGATGGATTATCATAGAACAGAGTTGCTGTGTGCAGTAACTCCTTTAATCAGTAATCTTCCAGTTTTTCCCTGTAGTCATCTCATATGAAGCTTTCTGGGAGTAACTAAGCATAACTGCATATACCCTCTATTTTGGATTACGCAAAATTGTTCTCTTAATTTATCGTGTGCAAAATATTCAAAGCCCACAAAACGTGACTGCAAATGGACTTCAGTTTCATCAAACAGCATATGTACAAGAGAGAGAACTCAAGCTGGACATGTCGGCGCGCCGTCAACTTAAACCAAACCAAACTCAACAATACGTTCAGTTGGAATCTGATATCTACTCTGGGTGCAAAAGTTGTCTCTACTCAGGCATTCACTTCTCTGCCAGAGAGCGAGGCATCCACCACGTACTGCATCTTTCCGGCAGGCATGCACTGGTCGCACGGCGAGTGCAGCTCGTCCATTTCGGTCGTGAAGTGGTCCGGGCTTTCCCCGTTGGACGTCTCCTTGATGACGCTGTAGGTGAGAGCCACGCTGTAGGACGCGGGTTTCTCCATGCGCTGGGGGCCGCAGTGGCACAGCTTCTTGAAGGCGGTGCGGAACTTTTGCGACATGGCGTTGTAGATGACCGGATTGATGGCGCTGTTTAGGTAGATGCAGAGACGGCAGAAGAGCAAGAACCAGGTGTCCAGGTAGGGTTTGCCTAGGAAGGAGTTGACCACCACTAAGGTCCGGTAGGGCATCCAGAGCAGGGCGAACAGGATGACGACCACGGCAAGCATCTTCGTCACCTGGAGAAACATCAGTCGGTCAACATCGGTTAGAATGGACAGGAAGAGGGCTGAAACATCCAAATTGGCAAGCAAGACATTTTACCTAAGGTATCTGCTCATTAGGAAGTAGTCTCTTTATACATAGTGCAGTTACAGAAAATGTTATTCCGTACAATGTCAAGCAAAAGTATTCATAGTCCTTCAACTTTGTCAAATTTTGTCATTTTGAAACCACAAACCTCAAAGTGTTTAAGAGCTTTGCTTGTGACAAACCAACAAAAAGTTGTACATATTAGTGAAGTGGAGGAAAAACACTCATGGCTTCCAACTTTTGTTAAAAAGAAGAATCTAAAACCACCAGTTGTTTCAAAGGCATCCATCCATCACCCAATCAAAGAGTATGGCACAACTGACTGACAAGGCTGAACACCTAAACTGATAGAAGAAAGTTCATCGGAGGAAAGGACAGTAGGCCCACGGTAACTCAGCTGAGATCCACAGACGAGACAGTGGATAGTTATACACTCCACAAAGGTTGGTGTTTAAGAAGACTGAGAAGAAAAAAAAACAACATTGCTGAAAGAAAGTTGTAAGGAGAAGCCCCTTTAAACTTTTCAAGACACCAAAGAAGGAAGGCATTCCAGTCAAATTGATCGAAATGTAACTTTTTAAAATCTATGGCAAGACTTGTCAATTTCTGTTTACAGATAACTCTCCAGCCAGTTTGATGGAGACTGAATTAACTACATTAACTGTTAAAATAAAAGAATAATAATCAGTGTCTGCCAAACAGAAATGTAAATAATCTGTGATACTGGAATTAATGGTTGGTATACATTATAATGGTATTATTTCCTTGGTGTGGACACTGTAGATGTGAAGACCCCAGACCCACATTATGTTTGTCCTCACATATCTATTTATTGCATCTATTTGCTCCACACATCCAGTTGCTTTTTAAAACCATGTGTTTTCATCTAAGCCTGTCCTATCAAATCCAGCCAGGTGTCGATAATGCCCGGCTCTCTGTGCCTAATGCTCCTGATTGGCTGTAATGACTGGCTGCTGGTTGTTCCGGCAACTTTCTGGCACCGCGTTCGGTTCATCCCTGATGCCTCCAGTTATGCCCTCTGACGCCTAAAAATGCAATTTCGTCTCATCTTGATTCGTTCACACACACCCCACTGTTCTCATTCTTAAACAATCATATGCAAATTGGAACAGTCCTTCAGGGTTTCCTTCTGGCTGCTTTGACTGTTTTTGTCAGGCAGTGGGATAATTCATGGAAAATCTGTCAAATATGCCCTCCAGTGAGCAGCTGCAAGAAAATAAAACCAGTAATTCCAATTTTACAACCTGTAAATAGTATCTGAAGTAAGTCATTAGCTTGTAGTTTGCAAAAGCTATAATACCCTATAAGTATTTTAGTTTTTGTCTCGTTAAATATGCAAACTAAATACATTTTCTGAGGCTTTTACTTGGTAGACCAAACATTTAAATTAAGTGTAATTGTGTAGTGGAAAGAAAATTATAAGTGGGTTTCAAATTAGCTTTAGAAATAAAAATCTGACAAAATAGCTCAGACTCAGTCACGATGGTTGGAGAGTGCGTGTAACCATTAACTGGGATTTAGGCCTGACCTTTGACTAGGTCATGCTAACCTGTGAGCGGACTAATGATTTTTCTGATGCCTCAAAACACAACATCTGTGTAACATTACCTGAGGAAAATTGGTTACATCATGTCATATCTTGTCCACTTTTAGCGACTTCTGTGTATAAAATGTCAGGTAGTGAGTAAAGTAGCGGAAATGTCCAGTGGAAAATGAATGTCCACTTGCTAAGTACATGTCCCAAAAATATAATAGTTCATTTATTACGCTATATCTGAAAAGCAATGCCATTTACACCAAATATTTATTTGTTCTTTTTCTCAAAATTACATGATTTTGTTTAATTTATAGGTCTACAATCACACAGTAGTTCAGATTTTGAATGTATTTGACTAATTTTCAAGTCCTTCTCTGTAGATTTCTTACACTACCAGACATCCAAAAGGAGATTTTCTCACTCACCTGAACGTGTCGTCAGCAGGCATTCGGATATTAGACTATAGCACCACTTTCTCCTCATAACTTTATGTTAAATAAACACTAAAAAGTTAGCTTTAAGGCAACAGACTCAACTTCATGTTCAATTTTTTAACATCCTCAATATCTGACTAAGCTTTTTATTGGTTCCTGTTCAACTAATAAGTACATTTTAAATAATGATGAACTCACACAGAAACTGAACTTATATCTAAGGTAACAGTTTTGGTAAAAAAAAAACTAAAAAAAAAAAAAAAAAAAAAGATATCTGGACAGTATCACATGTTTCTGGTTATTATACAGCAAAAAAACCTGTGACGATTGGTGAAAGAGGTCAAAGAAGGACTTTCTGTCCTTGGGAAAAAAATTCTGACTTTATGCAGCACACAGCTTAGGTAACTGACAGCAAGGTACACTGGAGTTGCTTATCAGTAAAAAGGTATGCCGCCCGTCATCCTAATGCCTTTTACTCAGTTTGGTCCTGTCAGAAGTACAGTACAAGCATGTCTGGGGAATGATAATGTGGTGAGGAATATAGCCAGTGACCAATACTCTGTTTTTTCAGTGTTTCACAACAAAGAAAAAACGGAAAAATAAACCACCAAATGTTTAATTCATCTGACAGCTTTTAATGAGTTAGAATAGAAAGTGCATCACTGATGTAGGTTTAAATGAATGACAGAATGCGTAAAGAGCATAACTCTTGACTTGTTTGGATTTTATCATGTCAGAACCACAGAAATGAATTTGTTTAATGGGGGTTTTATGTAAAAGACCAGTGCTAAAGGGCACATAAATGATATAGACAAGTTTTTATAAATAAATTATCTGAACAGTGAATACTTAGAAGCACATCCTGCTGCAAATTTGCTGCATTATGTCTCCTGCTTTGCCCGTTTAGATATACTGTTTTTTTAGATAGATGTTTTCATTTGCCAATTGTTTGCAAATTACATTAAGACATGACATTATAGTCTTCATTCATAGGGGAACGATATAATATCGATCCCGACCCTTTGCAACTGCAAAGAACTTCAAGTCTGTTGGGAAGATATTCAACAACGTGTAGAAGTGAATTCAATACATTTTGGTCCAGAAGCCCATTTGTGAGGTCAGACACTGATGTTATTTTATTGGGTTAAAGCCAGAACCCTGTGCACAAAGCTCTTTCACACCAGAACTCACTCAGCCATGTCCTCATGGACCCGGCTTTATGCACTGGTGCAGGAAAGGGGCCGTCTCTAAACTGTTCCCAAAGAGTCGAGTCCATGAAATTGTTCAAACAAGCCTAATATGCAGAAGCATCAACAGATACTGTCACTTGAACTAAGTGACCAAGTTCAACTACTGTAAAGCAGCCCCTCCCCTCATCATGACTAGACCTGAAACAATGAAGTCATGCAAGTCACCTGGCTCTTACAAACCCAGATTTTTCCATTAAATTTCCAGAAAGGAAAAGCATCACAGAGAACACATCTCCACTGCTCCGGTGCCGCCCTGCTTTACACTATGGCCCTGCTGATGTAAGGTTTAAATGCAGTTTCTGGGCCAAAGTAACCAATTCCTCAAAGCTCTCTTTGCACTGCTTTAGAGCTAATGTGACGGCCACATGAAATGTGTAAATTTGTAGTTTTTTGACACTGCAGAAAGTTGGTGACCTCACAATGCACCATTGTGAGGTCACAATGCATCTGCTGACCCCTCTCTGTGGTTTTACATGGGCTCCCTCACCGTGACCGAGTTGCTGTCATTCCCAGTTTGTTTTAATTCCACCAAAAGCAGACTGTGGAATTTCTTTAGTCGTGGTTAAATTTCACAACTGCGACCACGGCACAAAGCTTAAATTTCACACACCTTTAGAGAGCGACTCATTCTTTCAGAAGTGTTTGTTGAATCAGTGTCTATACTTAGGTGTTGGACTAAGCATGTAATGTGAAGTCAATTTCTCTAACTCGTGCAGTTGAAAGTGTTTATAAAAGTTTCACCTTGATTTTCTACTAGTTTGAATAATACTTGCACACTGGAGTCGAGGCTGTGGAAATTCCACACACTTCCACACAAATAAGACATCACTGTCTTATTTTTCACATTAAAAGATCACATTTTAGGATTTCAGTGCTCTATGAGTTCCAAGTGGTCTGATAATTATCCAAAACAATCAAAAAGTAGAGCCTGCTGCCATTTTCAATTTCAGGAATTCAGCATGCTGAGGTGAGTGAAGCACCTGCCTAGTTTAGGAAGACTATATAGAATGTTACTAATGGTAATTGCTGCAACAGTAGGGTGTGTGTTGTGCTGGTATTGTAGCAGTGTTGCACATGTATGATATACTTGGAAACTCTGGCGCTCATTCAGTAAAAACCTCCCCAACCATCTTTGGAAAGACAGAGCAGTAAGTCACTTTTTCAGTTTCCCTTCTTAAGTTCTCCTGGAATGTTTGCTCCACGTAGAATGGACTCTCTTTCTTATCCGGAATCTTGCCGAAGCCTTTGACAACACGCAATTACTCCAATCCCTCCATGTCATTATGATGAAGACTTCAAAAAACTGTTCCTTTGATATCTCTTGGTCCACACCAGGGGAATGTTTTTCACCATTTTATGTGACAGTGTAGAATAAAACCAACAATGGTGCTCGTTTTTAAGAAATACACAGATGACTTATCTGTCAGGAACTGTAAGGACACAAAAAACTGCACTGAACCGTTTTGTCTTACACACCAACGCTATTTCCCCTATCAAGATTTAGGGAAAACTATATATCTCACAGAGGGAACTGAATTAGACTAAAAATAGCACCAATATGGCTGTCTAATCGAGTGTGACATTCATGAATTTGGAGAAGCATGTCCAAGTCCAGGCTGAGTCGAACCAATAAACCAACTCTACTTTTTTTTTTTTATTCAACCCCGTCCATATTTTAACCTACACTTTGTTGGCAAAATAACCCAAATTGGCTTATTTATTTTTAATCCAGCAGCTTTTAATAATATATGTATATCACCTCAGCAAATGACATTGATAAGGAACTCTATAGAGGCTGTGCAATGTGGTGTAGTGATAGGAGGAAAGTATTGTAATTATTCAGCACTGCTCTGTTTGTGTCTCAGCTGATTGGCCACTCAATCAAGGCCTCTTTGTTCCTTTGTGAGCCAGTGGATCTCTACGGCATCTGCTCAGTGGTATTTATCCAGGGGAAATTAAGGACACTGATATATGGATCCCTTGCTAAAAGGCTCACAAGCAATCAACCTCACGGTTTTCATCAAGAAAGTTTTAAAAGCAGATCATTTGACTTCTAATGTAGATCCTTTACTTGAACACATAAACGCACACAGGTAAAAGGCAAATCCTCATTACTTCTTGACCTTCAAGTAACGTCGTTGCGTGGCTGGGATGGACTGCCGCGCGTGTCCACCACGAGCATGTTAATGCTGATAAACAGAATTTGTCAGCTAAAGTGATGGTGGAGAGAAAAAAAGAGTCAGCGTAAAGCCTGTTTGAGTCAGGGTTAACTGATTTGACTATCCAGCTAAGCCTGGAGCTCCCTCAGGGGACCCCACCCTCTTCATTCCAGGAAGGCGTCAAACCTCATCTGATAAACAAACGTCTCCCGCTGCTGACTGTCTGAGACAGCCTGGTGGGTCTTTGCCCTTCCAGCTTTCTGCTTCGTTTTAAGGAGAGTGGCAAAAATAAAATAAAGACGACACACCACTGGAGGAGTGTTTTTTTTTGTTTGGTTTTTTTAAGAAGGATAAAATGATAGACTTGGACCAGGGTTTAACTCCTAACAGTGTGTGCAGAGAAAGTGAACATGACAAATAAAAAGCATTTATACGTTGAACTTACACTACTGTCTTATCACTTAAAGTTAAAAATAGAAACCAAAAAAAAAAAAAAAAAGAAAAATGGGCTGGCGTAATGTTAAAGCCTCACAAATGCTGGAAAGGGGATTATGTGGTTTTAACCAAAGACTGGCTCACAAACTGTGGCACAGTTGGTTTTGTTAGAGAAGAAGTGAAGATATGTCCAGGTTGAAACATTTTCAATACTCTGTAAGGAATAAAAGACATATTAGGATGGTAAAACTAGGTTTTAAGGGGTGTCCAGTATGACTTTAGTCCAAACTAAAATAATAAATTTGTTCACCTAAAGCAACAGTCTGCAACCTTTACACCTCTACAATTTGCTTAGAGTCACAAACGCAACATGACTCTTTAAAACATGCTAGCTTGTTTTTATGCCATCTATACAAGAAATTTGCTTAGCCTTTTTAAACTACATAGCAACAATAACATTTTTGTTTTGAGATTGAACATTTCCTTCAATGGGACATTTAGTTTTATGTAAAATTACGTCAACAAGGAACATAGTTTTGCGTGATAGTGACAAAAAAATGACTTGATGAAAAGAGGAATCCTTACGCTACAAACGTCATTTTTTTGTGTTATGCATGAAGATGCCTCGGAAAAACTGCTGAAGCGATCCTTCTTTATTGTATTCACATTTTAAGATATTGCTCAGTTCATTAGCAAGTTACTAAGAGCCACAGCGAGCTGTCTAAAGAGCCACATGTGACTCCAGTAGCCACAGGTTGAAGACCCCTGACCTAAGCTAACGGTAGTCTTGCACCTGCTGAGTAGCCAACACGAGCTAGCGCCTTGTTTATTCACACGGAAGAATTAATCACAAAGTCATGCATGTAGGATTATTTACTGAAGTGCACAGTTTGCAATCAGAATTCAAATGTTTATAACCAAAAGTCATGCCTCAGAACAATGTTTAAAGTTGAAATGTTGCCTTAGATGAAGGAATCACTTCTCTTTTAACTGAGCGATGTTAATTATTTATATTAATTACAGTTAAAGTTAACAAAGAATGTATGTTGTAGTTTACATTTATATGGTAAACTCTCTCTTTATCTACACAAAATGCATCCAAAATTCCTGCAGAAATTAAGTGCTACCTTTTGTAGTGCAGTCTTTCAGCCCCATGGTTCCTGCAGTTGAAATGTGAGTTTTGTAATTTGGTGTAACTGGGTTGAATTTTTTATTTATTTATTCATTTTTGCTTGAGTGTATAAAATCTTTCTGAAAGTGAACAATGCCTCCTGGTTTAGTTTTCAAATGACAGATTACAGTTAGACCAAAGTAAAATTGGCGGATTGTGGTTGGGTTGTGGCAGTTCTTCCAGCTGGATATCAAAAAGTTAGAAAGCAGAAGGATGTAAAATAAAATGTTCTAAAAAAAAAATCTATTTCTTTTAGCTGACACTTCATTCAGCTATCTGTCTTTGCAAATATGGCATACAGCCTTCAGGAAAAGAAGCCAAACAAGTGGTGACTAAAATAGAAATGGCATTGGTGCTGAAGAATTGGACTATCAAGGTTCAGTAAAATCACTGTTCAGGAACTGATTGCTATCTTCCATCCTATCTCAAAGTGTACATTTGGGGTGTTTCGTTTTTAAAATCCCCTTGCAACTCGTTCATATGGGAGGGATTATTGTGTTTTAAATTCTCCCAGGTGTGACCTTATCCAAAAAGCCCAGGGTAAGTCGTTTTGGCTTAGAGCTGAGGTATTGTGTTACCGCCTGGATTTATTGATGTTTTTTCAAGTGGAAACTTCAAAATAATTGTGCACAGCTAAACGGATGGCCTTCTCATGTCAGAGTCCTGATATGCAATTTTTTAAAAGTTATTTTGTATTTATTTATTTATTTGGGACAAAATAAATGTATTCATGCTTCACACATTTTCCTTCGTCTGTGATAGTAGATTTGATTAATGCATATAACATCCTGGGGGATTGTTCATAAAGAGCTTTTTTGAATCCCTGTTTCTTGTCAAAAATCATTTGAAAATGAACAAAAAATAATAAAAAAGAGAAATTCTATAAAGTAAAAAGAAATTGCATATGGAGAATGAAAAGTGTTAATTTAAAATTAAATGTATGAAAGAAATTAATGTGTATGTGCCTAATGTAGTTAATCAGAGGGTGAACTTAATGGTATAACCCTGCAAGATCTGACATTTATGGACCTATTTTTATTGCTGTTTCAGGTCAGGGAGTCATTTTCTTTATTAGCCCAGCATATATTAAAAATTTAAAATGTTTGGCCTTATTTCCTACCCCAGTTTAACCAAAGCCAGTAAAAAATAAAGTCAAGTTTATTTATCTCATCTCAAAATCTCATAACAATTAGTATATGGGCATCTTTTACCCATCACTCTGCTGTACTTATAAAACATGCTGTTTGAATTTAAACAATAAGATAAAGTATTTGCATGGAAGTTTTTAATCCATATTAAAGGACAGTGTTAAAAATAAACAGCTAAACTACAGCCAGCTAAATTAGCTAAGCTGAAATGATCAGGATCATTTTTGCTAATATTGGGGTGCAATCCACGTCAAAAAGAAGCAAGATAAAGAACTGGTGTGTGATAAAGAGAAAAATGTTTTACTGAAATTGAGATAATTATTTTTTTTTCCATTCTAATAATGTGGTATGTAAAGTCTCTCCCTGACAACCTCAGCTAAGATGTGTTCATTAGCATGTAGCTAATCAGGATCAAGGAGCTCAGCTTGCTACCAGATTCGGTATTAGCATTAGTGCGGTCGCTAAGCTAATATAAGATACATACAAACTTCTATTCCTGCTGAATCTTTCTCAACTACAGGTCGTATAATGGCTCTTAACTTTTACTGAGCAACTATGTTTAGCTACAATATAAAAATGCATCTAAAACTCTGAACAAAAAACAATTGCTAAAGTTTCTAGAATGTGAGCATTATAAAATATTACCTTTACAAACTAACGGATTTTATTCAAAATTCTATTATTTTAATGTCAAACATACTTATTTCTCTCCAAAATTCCTTTTGGCAGAATAGCTTGAGTGTAACCTAGTATTAGCGCGATCGCTAAACCAGATGAAACTTTAATGTAGAAACTTTTTTAGCCACAAGTTTTATGATAGATTCTCAAAGTTATTATGTTGATATATTAATTAATTATTTTATAAGGCTTAAAAGCACATCAGCTTTATTCTAAAAAAAAAAAAAAAGCTAAATAAGAGCCATGGACGTTTTGAAACATTTTTGGGTCAAACCAAAATGCTAATTTTGAACAGTTTGCCAAAACAAAAGTAGCTAGCATCAAAATTCAACAATTAATTCATGAGCAATACATCATGAGCATTACATTTAGAATCTACAGTAATATACCTCCTTATATTATCCCACCGTTATTGGGATGACGGTATATTTGTGACACTTATGTACAATCCATATCACGATGGATTGACATTCACTGCAAGACTCCACCAATGAGAATTACTATCCGACATTTTTTTTTTTTTTTTTACAAGAATTTAGCTTAATTCGTGATTTGCTAACAAATTAAAGAAATGAACATGGTCGGAATTTGTTATTAATAAACATTTCCCCTTTTTTTGTTGGAGGTGGCTGTGGGAGTCAGTTTATTGGCTAATTTTTTTTAACTCTCTTTATTTATTTATTTATTTATTTATTTTAGTGTACCTGACTTTCTAGGTGTCTTGCCTTTTTCCGCTTAGAGTAAACTCTTAATGAGTCACAAGATATACATTCAACTAACTTTTGCGCATCTGTTTTCTTTCCCTCCTAATTCAAGAACATAAAGGCCACCGGAGAGGATGAGACGTTTCAGTCGACGTTTCTTTCCGGTTGTTGGGAACAAAGGTTTGCCCACCTGACCTGTGGCACCTGCCGGAGCTCGTCCACATCATTACACAGAGAGAGTAAACAGGAGCCCACCTGTCTGCGGGAGGCAGTCGTGGTGCTGCTGGAGGAGCTGCTGCCGACCATCCTGCCGCCCTGGCTCGCCTCCCTCTTCCACTTCTTGCTGCCTCCCTTCGGGTCGGACGGCAGCGGGTTGAGGAAGAGGATCCTGGCGATCAGCCCGTACAGGACCGTGGCCAGCATGAGGGGCAGCACGTAAAACACGGCGAAATCCGTGAAGTAGATGGGCAGGTAGTGGCTCCTGGACACCTTGTAGGCGCAGGTGAGCAGCGCCACGTTGTCGTACACCAACTTTTTGGTGTCGGACAGAAACAGCCACATGACGCAGTAGACCGAGGTGAGCGCCCACACCAGCATGATGATCTTCTTCGCCCGGGACAAGGTGCACAGGAACTGGGCTTTGATGGGGTGGCAGATGGCGATGTAGCGCTCCACGGTGAAGGCGGTGATGGAGCAGGAGGACGCGTTTATCCCCAGGTACTGGAAGTAGGTGATCCCCAGGCAGCCCGCGTAGCCGTACACCCACTGCCCGCACAGGGCGTCGCTGATGTTGGGCAGCCCGGCGGCCGTCAGCACCATGAGGTCGGCGGCCGCCAGGCTCACCAGGTAGCAGTTGGTGGGAGTTCGCATGTGCTTGGTGGTCAGGACCACCAGGATGACCATGACGTTGCCCACGATCCCCACGCCGCAGATGAGGGACACCAGGAACACGCTGACCACCTTGTATTCGACAGAGTAGTCGGTCCAAACGCCCAGAGTTTGGTTGTCCGGCACCGACGTGTCATTCTCCAGAGTCATGTCATCCACCGTGAGGTTTTCCATGACAGAGGGAGGTTGTAACTCTGTGCGCTTTGGGAAAAAAACACATTAAACATTGAAGAAGAAGAGGGAAAAATACTTTAAGTATCTAACAAAACTGAGATAGAATAAAAAAATTTAAAAATATATAAAAGAGAACCCCCCTCCCTCTAATTACGCATAAAAATGCTTCATATCTTCCCTCCTCGTGGAATATATCGTGTGGTGCTAAGCGAAGCCGGTAAATAAATCTCCAGTACGCGTGCCATATGCAGCCAGAAAAAGCTTGCAAAACGCATCAGAGGATGTGCTGCGTGCAGCAGCTCCTGCTGCTCCTGCCTCACTGGTGACTGAGACGCTTTCTGCAGAGCCCCTCTGCTCCTGAGAGCCTCACGGTGACGCACTGGGACCACCAACTTCTTCCTCCCATGCCAGGGATTCCAGACAAATACATCACATCTCGGGGGGAAAAATAATAATACATTCATGTCTTGGTACTTTTAAGGCCTTATTTAGATCTTTTTTTGTGTAACTTTTTTCCAATGTGAATCAATACTTTTTTTTTCATTAACAACTGAATGGAAAACGGAGCGAGGTTTCATTTAATACGTCATGCTCCAGCATATTTGTCTCAATTAAAAATAACATTACACCCACATGATGCTACACATTAATTACTGGAGAACTTTCCGCTCTTTATTGTAGCTGTCAAGATGTAGAATGCTATTGACGTGATTTGGAGCCAGTCCTGAGAAGATTTAATAGAGACAGATACGAGGGGTGCCCCGATTTATCGTCTGATTTCCTTAATTTTCGGGCGATGGTGATCGGCCGATACTTGCATGGGAAACCGATCTTTTCTACCTTAGCAAATGTACACATATAAATAGAATGACCTCTTTCATGCTGCGTCAAAAGTCAAGGAAAATAAGTAGACAATAAAAGTATGCAAATGAATTTCCTTTTCAACTCTTTTGGTTCTTCTCACATTTACAGAACCTGATTTTGTTTGTTTTCAGCAAAAACATGAGAAGATATAGTTAATCCGTTATGATTCATAATTAACCTAATGATTTGATGGTATATAAGAAAGCAAAAACTTGTAGAAATTGTTGCAGGTTTATTATGTAGCTTCTAAAAAAAAAACACCCTCCAAAAACGATCTTTTAATTCAACCAGAATCATTAGCAGCAGAAACAACAGCTTCATAGTCATCACACAGTGATATTCAGTGGTTACATTGTGCATATTAGTAGGGAATAGAGTAAGTAATTTATATTGGGTCATCTGGGTAGTTGCCCAGGGCAGCATCAGAAAGGGGAACACATAACTGCCATATTAAAAAAAATTGTTATCATGTTTTTTTTAAAATTGCTTTTATGCCATACTACCATTATATTTTCATAGTGTACATTTTGATCACTCTATCACTTATGCATGTGTAACTACTTGAATTACACACCGGATGAATAAAGTAATTTATCTTATCTTACCTTATCTTATCTTATCTTATCTTATCTTATCTTATCTTATGCATGTGGTGCCAATTGGAAATCGATATCCCCTGCTTGCCGCTAACAACAAGGGGACATACTTTGTGTGGAGTTGCGGTTCATTATCTGGAAATTTCCTGCTTTCTCGCTCGCAGTAGAAGGAGGGAATGGCTAAAATTCCTTTTCATCTGAGAACAAACACCACAAACTCACTTAGAAGGCAACTCAAAAATAAATATTTTTTCTATTTGCCTCATTGCACCACTCCCCCCCAACCCTCCGCCAGCCTGTGTCGCCCTGGGTGGAAAGTCATATTGCAAAACACCACGGAGTCATTGTAATCATAAGACAGGAGAAAGCAGAGGACTTTATTTTTAGAGCCTAAAGGTGTCTTACTTCTGGTTCATGTCCTTCTCAGTTCATATACTCATATGTTCATTCGCGGTTCTGGACAAATACAAATGGTTATGGCTTTGATCCACTTTGATACTAAGATCACTACAACATGTAGCTTTGGGATTTTTTTTCTCATAATATTATTTACAAGTCTTCCTTGTAGTCTGCTCTCTAACCCAATAAATTGTGTCCCAGTTATTGACACGTTGTTTGGTCAAAACTGCCCAACTTCTGCTCAAACACTGAAAACCCAGAAAACTGTGGTTTTATTGTGTAGTGTCGCTCCTCACTTCCATTTTATCCCTTATATCTTTTCAATTCCACAAGTGTGCGATGCTGTCTTTAAAGGAGCCTTTCTATTTTTCGTTCCAGATGTGGGAGGACTGCTGTGCGTTGACCTGATGACCTGAGGCTCACCTCCACATGGGTTCAGAAATCATTTGGTAGCAACTCACTTGCTTTGCTGCTGCTGTTGGAATAACAAGCATCCAGGACGGCGGATCTTTGCAGGGCTGGGTCTAATTTCTACACGCTTAACGTCAAACAGACTCCTGGACGTGAGACAGTCGAGAAGAACTGAACTAATTTAATTAAAACACGGGACCTTGAAAATTTTGATCGTGAAACTATCACCTGAGTGTTAAAAGCAAAAATTTACACGGCATGAGTTTGGTGTCTCGTCCTGACAAGCTGCGCCGTCGTCTTTCTCTCAGAAACTCGTGGCGTCTGAAACGGGTCTGGGATGTGGTGTTCAAAGACAAAAAAAAATATGTAATGTTTCACGCACACACTCCAGACACACACTGGATGAGCTCCAAACTGAAATGTAAACACAATTTTCCCAGCAGCTGACACCTTGACTTCGCTGTGAAAGGTTATAGAGCAAAACAGATGCTGCTGAAGGCGTGGAACCAGCTGCAGAGCGGAGAACAAAGCAGCTCCGACTTCCCTCTGCAAGGCAAACATTCATGTTTGTTACTTTACCATGGAATCAGAGTTTATGTAATTTGCTTAAAAAGAAAAAAATGGACGTACAGAGCGAAAAATGATCAGATCTTGGTTTTTTGGGTATTAGACAAATATCTTTGTAGACATTTTATAACATTGTTTTCAACTGCAGCAATACTTTAGTAATGCTTATATTTTAATAAGTGTATATCTAATTATGGTTATCAATTACTTACTTATCAAACTATTGAAAATTTCAATCAATATATCATTATTACTACACTGGGAGGAGGGATTGCTGCAGAGTCGTTTATTTCATTCAGTGAGGTTTGGCTTGTTGGCCTCATGAACTCAATACAATTGCACTGCATTACAGCTAGAGGTAAATTAGCAAGTGTGCAACTAAATTTAAATGCCAGTATGATTGGGCTTTGTAGTTATTTGATTATTTCTGGATATGACGTGTTAGACGTGCAAAGTGTCTGTCTGTTGTTAATTTGTACTATATTAATAAACTGAATTGATTAAAAAAAAGGTAGTTTAATTGGGAGCATATGTCATGAATCAAACTCAATACAGCATCAAAACAGAAATGTTAAGAAGGAATGATTGAATTTGGTGCACTATAAACATTCACCTCTTTACATCTTATAAAAGAGAAGCCATGTTTTTATCTGTATTATTATTTTTGCATGTTTTTTAAAACTGCTCCGGGGCAATAGTTCTGTGTTCTGAATATCTTTCTTATCTTTGTCTTGTGTACTTGTTTTTTTTATATATATATATTCTGTTTTAAAAGTTAATTGATTTTAAATTGCAGGTCCTTGTAAGTTAACAGAAATTAATTATTTGTCTCTTAACACTGGCTCGTAAGTTATTTATGAATTAAGATATTCTTAAATAAGGAATGAGCAAAGAATCAGTTTTTAATTCTATCCTCAATGCTCTTTCAGACTAGCAGGCTGAAGCAGAAATTGGGCTCATTTCTTCATCTAATCTGTGAAAAACAGATGAAATGGATAAAAGCAGAATAATGAGGTTTTTCTGCTAAACTAGGTCATTTTCAAAGAGGTATCAGCTAAAATATTTGCACATTGTAAGAATTAGATTAAAATCTTTATCTATGTTTTTTCCTCTCAAGGTTTTAATGTGAATTTCAGGTACATTTCCACCACATGCAAAATGCAGTATTCAAGTTTGGTGTTAGTGTGGTAAAATCTTGGAGCGGTACTCCACTCCACTCAGCGTTAGGTGTTTAGCAGCACAATGACGTATCAGCGCATTTAATCGAT